TCTTAATCCTATTTATTCCCTAAAGGAGAACTCAACTGTTAGGAAAGATAAAAGCAAAGGAAAAAAGTATACAACAAGCTCACTAACAATAAGCAACCCTCAAATAGCTACAACTAATATGAACACTGGGTAGGTGATCCACAAATCCTAAAATAAAAAATGAATAATAAATAATAATAAATTATATTTATAAATAATAAATTGTATTTATAAATAATAACAAATTTAAAACAAAAAATGAAAAGGACTAAAAGCAGGTTTTGAAGGTCTTTGCAAGCAATGGTCAAGGGCATGAACTTTAGCTTGTGTACAATAAAAAGCTGCTAAGTATTTTTTTTAAGAGGGTGAGGAAACCAGCCAAGTCTCTATTCTTGAAAGATACCTAGTGGCAGCATATATCCAAGAGAAACAAGAGGAGAAAAACCATCCTGTAGGCTGTTATTACTAACAAATTTTAACATGAAACTAAAATGCTCACTGAAGCTATGAAATAAATTTCAAAACTATTACAATATTATTAAAGAAACTTACAATGAGTTATGGCTTGAAAATTATTTGAGGACATTAAATAGTCACACTTTAAAATCTCCTTTTCTTAAGTCTTCACATTACATATGCACACTTTTTTCAAATAAAATTAACACTTTAAATAGTATTTATGAGCATTAAGGCCACAAGATTTTTAAATATTTACCTAACCATTTAGAAAGCCCTTGGCATTTTAGGTATAGAAAAAATCTCTTACAAACTAACTTTCCTTTTTCTAAAGCTCACACTGAAGTAAGGACACATGCAATGGCAGTGCTCTGCGCTGACCACTACACTCCGAGATACATAACTGAAGGAGCAGAAATGCAGTTCGGTTCCCGTCACAACTTTCCTATAGACAACTGATTTTGCTCGAAACTTCCTCTTAGTTGGAGCCTACTCTTGGCTAACTGTAAACTCACTGCTTCTATTAACCCTCCAAAGAACACAGTCAGCAATAATTAGATTTTAACCTTAAATTCCTAAGTATGTTTCTAAAAGAGGACCTTACCTAAGAACTGACATAAATACAATATTTTAATATTACAAATATAATAGAAATATTTTACATTCATGCCGTTATTTTCAGCATCATATCTAATATAACATCCAAAAAGTCAAATATTACTCTAACTCTATTCTCATGTAAACAAAAACATTTATGTTGATTTTTGCATTTTCAAGTGTTTTTCAAAGATTTTAATAAAGACGTTTAAATGCTAGAAGATGTTTCAACAATTTTATCACAAGAATGAATTCACTTTTTAAAAGAAAGCTCTCTCAAAAAAATGCAGTTTTGTTCATTTCTCCCCAGTCATACCTTGGAAAATATACAGGGATAGCAGGGATAATCTTCAATATTAAAATAAACCTTTTTTTAAAATTATTCATTTGTGAATCCATATACTTTTATTTATATAATACTGAAAGCAAAAAAAATCACTGAATGAAATTAATTTAGAATCAGAAGATATTATAGAATTCATTTGCTGGTACACAGACACAGATAAGTTCATTGATGTCTCCAAAGTTAAACAGTAAGGCCAAGATTTGATCCTTAAACCTCTGCCTCCAAATCCAGATCATTTCCCTTATGTCAAGTTTCACCTAAATTCTTATTTTACAATTATCATATATAACACTTGAACAATTAGAAGACTGCTTGATCTTCTACTTCCATAAAGGTACTGATTTCTTAACTTTTTAACATAAAACACAGGCAAAAAGCACAAATCCTCTATGTTAAACATCAAGAACAGCATAAATAAAAATTCTTGTATTGTAATCTTTGCTAGGTTAAAAATACCCTTATCTAGAAATGCCCAAATAGTATCACTTCAGAGCACTGAACAGTAAGTACCCAAGTATAAACCTCTAAACTATTAGCATATACTTTAAGACACTCAAAATGTTTTTACTCAAGAGCAGAATCTGAGTAAGGGTTTTCTACTCTAAGAAAATATGCTGTCTTTACAAACACGAATTGTATTTTCTTCTATTACAAATAATAAGTGGCATTATCTGGAATAATACCGCACTTAAAGGATGAAAAAAAAAGTTGACTTGATAGCAAAGGAACCACACTAGGAAGACTAGAATTTTTCAGTTTACAAAAGAGCATATGTAACTGTTCATAACTTACCAACAAATTACTACCAAAATATTTAAACTGTAATATTTGCCTAAAAACTCTCTACAAAAGTGGTGAAACTATGCTAAAAGGCTTTTCCAATGTTAAAATGCAATCTAGTCACATAAAAGTCAAACATATTCCAATCTATGAAAATAGCTGACACATCTGATAGACAGCTAATCTTCTAACAAGTTTTCACTTGATAAACATTTTTCTACACATTGTCTACTATTGCCAGTAGTAAACTTAGAAAACAAAAGGTGTAACTGCTTTGTTTGTTTTTCCTAGCATCTGGACAATAACAACAGCACAACAGTGGCCTCCCAAGTCAAGCAAAGTGGTACATTCAGGAACAGGAGACAGAAGGGTCCTCCAGTTGAAGGCCCATCTAGGAGAGCCAGACAAGAATACACAGCAAGACTCTGTCTCAAAAAAGAAAAAGAAAAAAAATCAAGGGGCAGCATAAAAAGGTCTCATGAAACACTACATAGTGATACATAGATCAGTGTTTAGCAGGCCATAAAATCAATGTAGTGGCTCGTAGATTATTTTGAAAAGAACACAAAACACAGAGAGACCAGTGCCTCAAATGTGTAAAGAACAAGAAACGTTTGTTTCCCATCTACTGGGTCACAGTGTGAAAAATATCACTAATCAGCAAATCTGACAGCTAAGGATATACAATCCTCCATACAGCCGCTACAGTTACCCTCTAAGTTGCATAGAACACACCTCCCAGAACTGAAAAATCTAATCCGACCCTAAAGTTGCCACTTTTTGGCCCTGTATCTTCCCTGTCTGCCCGAATACACGTCTGCGTAAACTAATGTTAATGTCACCCCACCAAACACAGTCCTTAGGAAGATCCGAAACAATAAACGTAAAAGTATTTGCACTCGGCAAATGTTCAATATATAATAGCTATACTTAAAGGATCTCTTGGTGTGGTACGTGGATTTCCCAACACTATAGAGATACAAGTTCATTCCCTCGTGATGATTCCAATTCCTTTAAAAAAACAAACTATGAAAGCCTATGGGGGTGGAGGAGGAAATGTTTTGGGCATCTTTCCACACATTACTAAGTTTAAAGGTTAAATTGCTAAAACTTTCTCCTAATTATGCAAGAAATACACAAGCCCATGAGTTAGTCTGTAAAAACTTTAAATTGCATTAGTGTATGCTGCTGTCTATTCATCTAAATTAAGTCTCATTTCTGTTCTTTTAATTATAAAAACACTCATTTGTCCTCTCAGTTATCATCATTCCTGACAAGCTCCTTACTGTTGAAAATCCGCATATATACACTCTCATGTTAAAGGCTGCTGGTCACCTCCAGGCAGATATCCTCACTTCAATAGCAAACAGATCAATGGTACCAAAATGCCGTGTGTAGAAGCCTAGTATGTCCAAAGTGGGGGTGGTCAACCTATTGAACCTCAAGTCAGTCACCTCAGTCTTAAAAGCTCTCCACCTGCATAAGTCAAGTCGGAGAGTGGGCTATTTCACTTCCACTCGCTGATTTAAAAAAGAAAGAAAGGAAGGAAGGAAGCCACTGGCTTCTGCTCTTTTAGAGCCCCTAGTACCGGGAGCAGCCTCACCAGCACAGAACATCAGCTCCTGCCCCTCGCTTTCCACCGAGAGCCAAACGCGCTTGCAGAGCAGCGCTCCCCTCCGCACTCCTCTCCGCAGCCCCTGCTCGCCCAAGAGCCCCTACCTGTTCCCGGGAAATGCAAGGCAACGACGGTCTCCTGAACATCTTGCCACTGCCATAGTAACCGGCGGCGCTTTCTCCCAGCGACACGCAGCTGGACCTCCTCCGGGGTCTGATCACAGGCACTTTTTCCTCCGCGGCAGTCGCCAAGCGCTGGGGAGGAGAGGCTCCCCGGACGTGAAAGAAGTGGTCCAAGCCCAGGGCCAGCAGGCAGCCGGCGCCCCCGACCAGGCACGACAGCAGAGGCCTGAGCGCCGGCGGCAGCGCCCCGAGGCCGGAGAACGACACCCACCACACCAGGCCGGCGAAGAGCAGCACCAGGACGCCGTGGCGCAGCCTCACGCGGGGTGCGAGCGTCAGCAGCCCCACGCAGCTCAGCACCAGGCACAGCCGGCCCGCCACGGCCGCCGCCGCCACCGCCGCCGCCGGCTCCCCGCGCAGCCACGACCACCACTGCCACGCCGCGAAGTCGCCCAGGTAGCAGCAGGCGGGCAGCGCCAGCAGCCACCAGGAGCCGGCGGCGCCTCGGCCCGGGCCCCGCTGCGCGCGCCTCAGGAAGCAGGTGAGGAAGAAGAAGGCACAGGCGATGCTGAAGAGCGGGCTGAGGCTGAGCGAGCAGGCGCTCAGCAGCGTCCGCAGCCCGCCCGCCGCGGCCGCCCAGCGCTCGGGCCCCGCGCCCAGCAGCGCGGCCAGGACAAAGGCGGCCAGGGCGCCGAGCGAGAGGCGTGCCCCGGCGCCGAGCGAGGCCGCCGGCGGCTCCACGTTGCAGAAGCGGCAGAGGTGGAAGAAGAAGCCGCGCGGAGGGTCCTGGCGCAGCGGGCTCACGCTGCTCTTCACGTAGCCGTTGCGCAGGCTCTCGGGGGGCGAGGCGGCCGGCGGCGGCGGCGGCTGCGGCGGCGGCGGCGACCTCATGGCTGGCGCGTCCCGCTCGCGCTCGTCCTTCCTCATGGCTCCCCCCGGGCCGCCGGGGTAGCCGCTGGCGCTCGCCGACCCCGCGCCCTCCGCGTTCCGGGCGCCCCGAGCTTCGCAGAGCGGTCAGGGCTGCGCCCGCCGCCGCCGCCACCCGGGATCCCCGGCGCGCGGGCTGAGGGGCGGCGGCGTCCGCCTCATGCTGGCTGAGGAGAGTGGCCGGAGGGCCTGGTCTGTGTCCCGGGGCCGCCGCGGACGCCTCTTCTTTTTTTTCTGCCCGCCCCCCCTCACCTCAGACACCGCTCGGGACAGGAGACGGCGGCGTCGCCTCCACGCTCCCGCGCGCTGCAGCAGTTACCTCACGGCTGCAGCCTGGTCCGTTGGGCGCGCGAGCGGGCGCTCCTCCCCCCCGCGGCGGCTGCCCCTGCCGGGAGCGCGCCCCGCCGGCGGCCCCCCGCGCGCGCTCCCGTGACTCGGCCGGTCGCCACTCGGGCGGCCGCCGCCCCCGTCAGGATGCGCATCCGGGACCCCGCGGGTGAGCGCGCGCCCGCGGCCCGGCTGGTCGCTCCTGGGAGCCCGCTCCCTCAGCCCCTCCCTCGCGTCAGGCTGACTGACTCGGACCCCTCGGGTAGCGCGCGCGCGCGCGGGGCCACCGAGAGTGGGACCGCTGCGCTTGGAACCCCTCCGCCCGGACTGACACAGAGCGACGTGCTCTTGGGCAGATGGGAGGGACTGGCCGTAGTCCTGAGACACCCCACCACCACCAAGCCCAGTCACAGGCGGTAAGTCACGCACGGCCCTGCAAGACTCAGTCAGGTCACTGCGAGGTCTCGGGGAGACGGACCCCAAGGGAAGTGCCTAGTGGACATAACGAGGTGAGAGTAGGTTCACGGTGTGCCGTCGGACAGCCCGAATCCAGACGTGTGAAGGGGGAGGGTCAGCCAACCCCAGGGTCAGGATGAAGAAACTCAGCACTGTTCCATCTGGCCTCCACTGTTTTACCTGGACTCTGGGGGCCCTGCAGCAGGCCCGAGTGATGCCTTCAGTGGCTCAAGAGAGGAGGGCCCCTGGAGAGTGCCCTCTGACATCAAGCATATCTTGCTGAGGAACCTTTTTCAGTGAGGCTAAGAACTAATATCCAAGTCCTATGCTTGGTATCCTTGCCACACATGCGCTGCTTCACCCCCTCTGTCCCTCTACCACAGCCTAGACTTGGCTGTCCCAAAAGTTCTTTCCAAGTAAGAGACTTTTTGTGTGCAACTGTGTTTTCTGGGGGAAAGGAGGGAAGGGAGTTCCATAGTACTAAGACCACTCATCGATTCGAATCGGATGACCTTGAAAGAAGCCAAATAAGATGCTTTCTGTGAAGGACTGATGGAACTGGCCACATTAGGAAAGAAAAAAGTGGGAACAGCATTAGGAAAGACCGACTTAGAAGTGGGAGAAAGAACTTTGCTGAACGAAAGGGACTGTCCTGGAATCCAACCAGGCATAACTCCTTAGAGAGTGTGAACTGTTTCTCTCCACCGAAATTCTCCCTTCAACTTCATGACAGGCCTGCTTTTCTCAAAAAGCTAATTTCACATTTTTCCAGGGAGATGAGAAACCTTAATGTGTGGTAAATCCCACAAACAGGCCTATTTTTCACCAATTAATCTCAGCCCACAGCCATGGCCTAAAGCAGCACATTTTCATATATGGACATAGTTCACATACATAATAGAAATCACTGAGGAATTAACATAAGAATTTGACAAACGTGGGGAAAGACCAGAATTTCCTGGGCTTTTCTATGTATTGAATAAAGGAAAAATATTTAATAGAGTGTTCTAATAGTTACTAAATGTCCTAAATGATTAAAAAAAAAATCATTGGGTCTTTTTTCTGCTGGACAAATGAAAGTGGGGGCTCATTTTAGCTAAACTCAACAAATATGTGTTTTAAATCCTGTACATAGAAGTCATATCACACACACACACACACACACACACACACACACACACACACACACACTAAATTGAAGATTAAATAGGAAACTTTGCCTGTATATTTAGAGCTTGTATAGAAGCGCATGACAAAAGAACATTACTAAAATACCCATTTTAGGTAATTTTTTAAAATAATAAATTATAAAAGCAGGTTTAGATTAAAGTTATTGTATTGTGATTTTTAAATCTGAGCTTGTCATCTGAGATAGAATAGACATGGTGATGAAAACAGTAGTGTACTAGACGCTGTTTCTTGAGTTGCATTCCAACCAGCTATTCATGCCCTGATAGTAAGCAAGTCATGGCTTTTAAATAACTCATTCTTTTCCATTGTAAAAGGAAGTAATTTAACTTAGATGACTTTTAAAGTCTTCTAGTTTTGGAAAGCTATAGTGTCCATATTCCAAACCATGGAGGTATCAAATTGACACAACCAACCTTTGAATTATTTGTGCCACCCAAGTTTTCAGTGTTGATAAGTGAAAATGAAGGTGTTTGTACAAAGAACTGTTGCCTAGAAATAAAATTCAAAGCCGCTTTCACAAAACTTTTATTTTGCAATTCTTTAAACATCTTTTAGCTACCATCAAGATCTTTGTAGGTCTTAAACCCAACTTTCTCAGTATCCAACGGATGAAGCAAATCCCTCTCTACACCAACCCAGTACCTGAAGATTCTAAAATAAAACGTAAGGCTTGTGACAAGACCATCAGAAGTTTACTTAACAAAAAGAATGAGCTAGCTATGTTTATAATAGCTCCCTTCTCTATTTATAGTCTCTGTCAAAGATTACTAGGCTGCATTTCTTAGAGGGCAAATTAATTCTTCTTCTGCCAAACTTAAACAACTAATAGATTCCCTTTGTTCTCATCCTGAGGTTCAAGAATCTATGGCCATTGTTTGTTGTGACAGAAGACCTAATATAGATACCTAACTTCTCTTAGCTCTCTCTAGCCCAGCCTCGTTTTACCTGAGTTGGGTTTGATCCCTATCTCTCCACTTTCTACTGACATGGAATCCTGGTGCTTACCACTCATCTCCTAAGTCATTTGGAACAATGTAACTCCTTGTGTATTATATTGTTCTAATAATACCCAGAGTTGCCGTATGTATACAAAGGGTGAGAATTTTGTTCTATATCCCTTAAAGGTATACCTACTACAATAAGCCGCTAATACATCCACTAACTTTGGAGGAACCCTGCCCTGATCTTTTCCTTCTCAGAGCCTAGAACTGGCCCTAAAAACTAGTTTAGTGCCTAAGGACACTTTTACCATTGACAGATGTTACCTGCCTATAACCTGTGTTTCCTTACAAGCACCGTTTGAGACATTCCAGCACTAGGGTCTGCCCAGCGGTTAGAATACCTTCTGCATCTGATGAAACCTCTGGTGCTAGTCATTTTGATGCATCAAAAATGGTTCTTAGTAAAGCCAAAAAGAGGTCTCATGTTTGGTCTCAACCATTTTTCCTCCTATTCTATCTTCTAGTAACTAATTCCTATCCTTGTGACTTGTATTTTCAACTATTGTTTTTGATAGGATCATTTCCTAACTCTAAAACCCAGAAGTAAAGACAATCCAGTTCTAGATCAATATTCCCAGAAATTCCTTTCCAAAATCAAATTGTTTTCAATGAATCTTGGCTGCTGCACCTATGGTGATTATTATAATTACAATTGTGGAATGTAACTAGAAAAAAATATAGGACAGGAAATTGAATAAGACCTGGGAATCTCATCTCTATTGTCAGACAAAACTCGCATAATCCGACAACTCAGGTTCGGATAGCTAAGAGAAACCAGGCATGGTGGTACATGACTGTTAGCACAACACTCAGTAGGCTGAGGCAGGAGGATCATGAAATCAAAGGCAACCTGAGCTATCCTACACCCTAACTCAAAACACCAAAAGAAGGGAAAAGAGGAGAGAAAGTGGGAGGGATGAAAAAAGAGGAGAGAAGGATGGAGGTAGAGAAATTATGAAGTATTTACTAAGAGGCCTTGGAAAGAGAGTAATATTTACTAGTTCTTTAAAAGATTTTTAACACTGTTCCCTATGTTATCACTTTCAACCATGATTTTCAAACACTTTTCAAAGGAAAATGTTATGCAAGTGATAGGCTGCTTTTCATTTTGTTTTGGTATTTGTTTGTTTGTTTGTTTGTTGAGACAGGGTCTCTCTACTGAGCCCTGGTTGTTCTGGAACTTGCCACGCTGACCTTGAACTCACAGAGATCCACTTGCCTCTGCCTCGTGAGTGCTTGGATTAAAGGCATGTGTCACCACACCCAGCCTTAGACTGTTCTTTTTTAAATAAAAATTTCAGACCACTCAGTAGGTCTCTAGCACTTCCTATTCAAAGCTAAACCAATATGTGGAACCCTTGATAGGAAAAAATAATAATAAAGTTGAAACCTCTGAAATACCTGAAAAAGGAATGTTAATTGAATTGAACTTGGAAAAATAAAAAAAAAAATTCCTGAATGTTCTTCCTAAACGTAACTTCACAGAATTCAGTAAATTACAGCCCATATTTTTAGGAAAAAAGATAGAAAGCAATCTGGCACATTTTAAGTATTAAAGAAACCTTCAGGAATAAGTAAATTAACCAATGTCAAGGAAAAAAGATAGAAAGAAATCTGGCACATTTTAAATATCAAAGAAACCTTCAGGAATAAGTTAACCAGTGTCATTGAGGTTTCAAATTTCTAAATGTTAATATTTTCCCTTAAGTTACATTGAATCTTGTAAGATTTTTGAAAAAGTGAGAGAATCGCCAGGCGGTGGTGGCGCACTGCTTTAATCCCAGCACTCGGGAGGCAGAGGCAGGCGGATCTCTGTGAGTTCGAGGCCAGCCTGGGCTACAGAGTGAGTTCCAGGAAAGGCACAAAGCTACACAGAGAAACCCTGTCTCAAAAAACCAAAAAAAAAAAAAAAAAGAATGAGAGAATGAACATTTACTAACTTACTGAAAAAAATAAAAACAATTCTGTTTTGAAATTGCAAGCAATTCTCTTGTCCAAAGGTTAACAGTATGTTTTTCTTCTAACTACTACCCTTCTCAGAATGGAGTCTGTCCTTTTTTTTTGGTTTTGGTTTTGGTTTTTTGGTTTTTCGAGGCAGAGTGTCTCTGTGTAGTTTTGGTGCCTGTCCTGGATCTCACTCTGTAGACCAGGCTGGACTCGAACTCAGAGATCCGCCTAGCTCTGCTGGGATTAAAGGCATGAGCCACCACCGCCCGGCTGGAGTCTGCCTTTTACTTATTCCTTTTGTTATTTATTTATCGGCGTTATTTACCAGGTGGGAGAAAACACGAGGTACAACAGAATCCACTATAAGAGTTTGTATTAGGGGAGGGAAAGGGTGGCTGTGGGTAGGCCTACTGAATAGAAAGGTGATGGGGGGTAGGGGGGAAAGACAAGCTACCTCTGGTGAGAGGGAGAAAGCAGGGATTGGGTAGAGCTTGCTTTTATAGGTCACCTTGCACATGCATATATGGGCTTATGTAGCTACACCACGTATGTGCATAGATTACATGATCATGCTGCAAACGGATTACTAGAATGTACGGTCCTAGAATAACTAAGCATTTTGCCTGGCTGCTGACAGTGCCTGCGGGGTCATGTGACCCCAGAAGTGGCTAGGAATAATAACACCTTTGTTTTTTAATGTTTCTGTGTATGTGGTATCCATATGTGTATGCATGTGTGGGGGTATACAGTGGGTAGGGGTACATATGTATACTGTGGAGGCCCAAGATTTACCTCCTTATTCATTGAGATAGGATCTCTAG